AGATCTAGCTATATATGCTCCATCACACATGTATGCATATACATTATGTTTTTAAAATGAGGTGTACCAAAAGTAGCTGAAAAAAGTTATAACCTAAATAGTTGATGGTCATGAACCCATTAAGAAAGAAAGTTGCAATTTTAATCATTCCTTTGATTATGAACTTCCTGTGTTCCTTCTCCAACAATCACATTAAAACTGAACTATATTAAATATCATTTAATTATGCCAGCCAGGGACGGTGGCAATCCCAGCACTTTGGGAGGCCGAGGCGGGAGTATCACTCGAGGCCAGGAGTTCAAGACCAGCCTGGCCAACATGGCGAACCACTCTATCTACTAAAAATGCAAAAATTAGCTGGACCTGGTGGTACATGCCTGTAATCCCAGCTACTCAGGAGGCTGAGGCACAAGAATCTTCTGAACCCGTGAGGCAGAGGTTGCAGAGAGCCAAGATCGCACCACTGCACTCTGGCCTGGGCAACAGAGTGAGACTCTGTCTCCAAAAATAAAAATAAAAAAAAATTAATTATGCCTCTATAGAGATTTTTCCTAATGTTCTGACGTTTGCTTTCTTGAATCAGAAGTAGTCTACAGCCAGACCACCCTGAGGCACCCAATCTTGTCTGATCTCGGAAGCTAAACAGGGTCGGGCCTGGTTAGAACTTGGATGGTAGAAGCAAAGCACAGGACATATCATCCTCCTAAGAAATGTCAGGATCTTTAACATCTTGTGGGGAAAAGAGAGATCAGACTGTTACTGTGTATATATAGAAAGAAGTAGACATAAGAGACTCCATTTTGTTCTATATTTGTGATGCTGTTAATCTGTGAACCTACCCCCAACCTTGTCCTTGCAAGAGACTGTGCTGTGGGGGCTCAAGGTTTAAAGGATTTGGGGCTGTGCAGGGTGTGCTTTGTTAAACAAGTGCCTGAAGGCAGTATGCTTGTGAAAAGTCATCACCATTCTCTTAATCTCAAGTACCCAGGGACACATACACTGCAGGTTGCAGGGACCTCTGCCTAGGAAAGCTAGGTATTGTCCAAGGTTTCTCCCCATGTGATAGTCTGAAGTACGGCCTCGTGGGAAGGGAAAGACCTGATCGTCCCCCAGTCTGTCACCCATGAAGGGTATGTGCTAAGGAGGAAAGAAGAGGAAAGAAGTATAAGAGGAAAGAAGGCCTCTTGGCAGTTAAGATAAACAAAAGCATCTGTCTCCTGCCCGTCCCTGGGCAATGGAACACCCTGGGCAATGGAACATCTCAGTGTAAAACCCTATTGTATGTTCTGTTTATTGAGAAAGGAGAAAACCGCCTTAGGGCTGAAGGTGGGACGTGCTAGCAGCAATGCTGCTCTTTATGCACTAAAAAGGTTTATGGAGACGTCTGCATATGTATATCAAGGCACAGCACTTTTCCTTAAACTTATTCATGTCACAGAGATCTTTATTCATATGTCTTACTGCTGGCGTGGGTCCTCTGTATGGTGAGCAGGGTCCCCTGGGCCCACTTTTTCTTTCTCTATACTTTGTCTCTGTGTCTCATTTCTTTTCTTAAGTCTCTCGTTCCACCTAAGGAGAAAGGCCCACAGGTGTGGAGGGGCAGGCCACCCCTTCAAACATCTTGTGAGGTTTCTAAAACTTAATGATGTAAGAAAACTAAGAAAGAGATTAGCTATCAATCTTTTATAGGAACTAGGCCTTAAAGGGGAAATATCCTGAGATTCACAGATATTTATAAAAATTATTTAAAAAGTTAAAACATAAATATAATGAAATCAATAGGCTTTGATTCTTCAACATAAAAACAAGCTACTCTCTACTTCTTTAGTTGCATAACGCTTCCACCTTTTAAAAAATATTTCAAGAACTCTTATTTGATTTACAAAGCTGTCTAAGTAGACAGGTATGTGGGTCTAGCCATTTTATAAACAATAATCAGATACTGTTAAGATTTACATGTGGCAAAAGCGTTTTTAATAGCAAAATCAGAATAAGAATCCAGGCCTCCCGTCCATTAAGTTCTGTGTTCTTACAAAATCTTTACTACTAAGTGAAAAATCAAAATATCACCATAATAAAAACCAATGATGCTTAATCAATATCTTCATATTTAGTAAGTAAATGTTTCCCAAGTATATAAAGGAGTCTCTGAAGATTTCAATACTCCGAGAATACTTACAAAGACGAACTAAATACTTACTGAGTTTCTCTAGCTCAAGCCGCAAGCTTTGACACTCCCGGGTTTCATTCACAAGTCTCTCCTGACTGTGAGACAATCTCTTTTCTATTTCAAAATACTGTTGTTCTACAGCAGACAAGCAAAAACCAACAAAATCAAACACATGTACATACATTGTCAATACTGTTATTTATTTCTAATAACCTCGAATTTAAAATTTAAGGTATAGTACTAGAATTGCACTTCACGTAACAGAATCTGAGTAAAGATAAATAGACTGAGCACTGAAAAGGACTTAGAGTATTTCCAAATGACTTACATGACAAAAAATTAAAATAAAAATAAGGCCTAAAAGGGACTTTACAAATGACTGTCTTTAAGGCAGGTAACATGTCTCATTTATCTTAGTATTTTCTCCAGACATCAGTAAACTGCTTACCATGAAGTATTTATTAAACGAAAAAAAATTGTTTAGACAAAAAAAAAATTGCTTTGTTTTAAAAGGCTTCTTTTATAGTAGCCAAGATATTACCTGAAAGCATAAAACTACTAAATTTACGTAAATGTGTAAACTTCCCAAGGGAAGGGATTGAATATCGTGCTCAGCATAGTATCAGGAGTAAGACACTCAATATTTACGGTGCAAATTAATATATAGAATGCAACGTACTACTCAGCTCTGAGATCAGAGAACGAATTTTCAAAGTCAATTCTGCTTGACAGTTACACTTATTTTTACTTTTTTTTTTTTTTTGAGACGGAGTCTCCCTCTGCAGCCCAGGCTGGAGTGAAGTGGCTGGATCTCAGCTCACTGCAAGCTCCGCCTCCCGGGTTCACGCTGTTCCCCTGCCTCAGCCTCCCGAATAGCAGGGACAACAGGCGCCCGCCACCACCTACAGCTAATTTTTTTTTTTTTTTTTTTTGTATTTTTAGTAGAGACAGGGTTTCACGGTGTTAGCCAGGATGGTCTCGATCTCCTGACCTCGTGATCCGCCCGCCTCGGCTTCCCAAAGTGCTGGGATTACAGGTGTGAGCCAATGCGCCCAGCAGACAGTTACACTTTTTTTGAAGTAAAAACTTGTTCAGAATTTCCAGTCAACTTAGCAAGAACAGCATTAACTTCCCCAAACAAATGGTAAACCAAAACACATTATCAGTAAGTTTGTATTTTACTAATGGTAATTACTATATTCTTCATATTTTTTCAAGGATGTTCAAGCCATTATTGTCAGTAACTTTCTTACTTAAAGGCCTACTTTAGGTAATTACAAGAAAATTTTAATGTTTTCTATCAAACTCCAACTTTTTGAGAGAAATCAGATACATTAAATTTATGTACTGCACGTTCACTGTGTTTCCAGCGCTCTTATGCACCTAATATTCATTTTCGTAAACATCTAATTCATTCTGGGGCCACGGGACGACGCACACACTAAGAACAAGTGCACAGAGTGGTCAATTTGGCAAAGGCCTAGAACGCAGGTGACTAGAAAATAGGGCGGAGCCACTACCAGTTGAAGTGCAACAAAACATACAAGGTACTCCAGGCTCAGAGAGATGGGTTAGCAGACTCCAGCCAAGTCTGTTTCCCGTTTGTCGGACGAAGAGAAATAAGAGTCCCTATATGAGCCTACCCTAATGACAAAGAAAATGGTACTAAACTTAGATTCAGATTTTATTTTTCAAAGGCTTCTTATCAAACTGTAAGGAGCAGGAAAGCGAAGGCTCAGGATATCCAAAGAGCCCAGGAAGTGAGGTTAACAGCGTGGTACCCAGTGCCAACTTGATAGGGGGAAGACCAGACCCAAAGGGCGAGAGTCAAGCTCATAACCAAGTGCGGAAAGAGCATCTCACTTACCGCTCTCCACCTTAAATTTCTCGTGCCGCCCCTTCAGGCCATCGATCTCGGATTGCTGATCAGCAAGGAACTTTTCAAGTTTGTTCTGGACAGACTTGGGCAGCTTGTTCAGCTCTGTGCGCTCCAGGACTTGCTGCAACACCGCCGCCATGTCTGTGGGGCCAGGGGCCCCAGTGGCAGCGGCTGACGGGGTAGAAGCAGAGAAGAAAGGCGAAGACCAGGAGGACCCAGACGCCTGGGCCGCCGCCTCTACCACCTCGCTCGGTGGCTCGCGCGCGCCCGCCCGCCGGAGACTCCCGCGGCGGGACCCTGGGAAATCGAGTCCAGCCTAAGCGGCGGCGCTTCAGCAACAGCACCTCACCGCCCGCGACCGAAGTGCGCGCGCAGCCGTTGGAAGCTACGCACCCTGGGAACCCGAGCTCAGCTGCTACCCCGATCCTATTGCGCACTCAATTTTCCGGCTTCCAGCTCCACCCACTTCAGGCCTTGTAGGCCTCTGGGAAATGTAGTGTTTTTCTCATTCCCTTCCGCGAGCCCAATCCCGCACCGCCCTTTCAGTTTCCGTTTTTCTCCCCGCCCCCCTGGCTCTCCTATCTCTGCTCCGTAACCGCTGTCCGCACGGTGGCGCCACATACGTACTCGTCACCCCATGGCCCTCCCTGAAGAGCTGGTGACCTTACCATCAAAGCCCCGGGATGCCATGGATCGTCCTCTTTGGCGGCTTCTGGACACTGAGCCACTAGAGGGCATCGGTCCCGGTAGGGGCGGACGGCAGGCTCCAGGCTACCGCCACGCTCTCTATGGCGCCCAGAAGGGGGCGGGGTGGCGACCGCAGTCGCTTTGGCTGAGGCTCTGCGGTGAAGGGAGGGGGGGCGTTTTACGTCATCAATCTGCGCCACCTGACTCCCAAGACCCTAGCTTTGGAGTGGGAAGTGAGGTGTGGGAAGTAGGTCGCTTTCTGATGAATTAAGTGGCAGTGAATTGAGACCGGAGGGAATCTGGCCCCTAGAGGCTGGTACTTGCGCCCCCAAACCCCATCTCCCGCAGACAGACTGTCCGAGGTAATTGTCGGCCACGAGTGCACATTCTGAAAACAGGTAAGTCAGCCTAAATGTAGTGTGTATGTGTGTGTGTGTGTGCGCGTGCGTGTGCACTAGAGCACACAGCTCCCTTTTCAAGAGAAAAAGGAAGGGACAGAGTGTTGGAAACATATGGACAGTCACTCCGGCACACACTTCTGACGAACTTACCTTGTGTGAAACGGCGTACCTAAATGGTTTTTGGCGGTGGAGAGGTGGTACTGAGTGATACAGTACCCGGGAATTTAAGGACCCGGGTTAATTCTTCAGGAGGAGAATTAAAAGAAACCGTTAGCACTTTGAGTGTAGCCTGTGTTTTAAATTTTTCGTTGCAGAAATTGCTACCTAACATTATATTGTTTTTAAAATTGAAAACTGTTATAACTGAAGTTTTTAAACACAGTGTTAATTGCTACAGTAATAGAACTTGCATGTTTCCAGATCATAATTCTGTAATTTTAAAGCTCAATCCGTAGATTGCTTCGTGTTTAATTACTCTTCAGAAAGAATTTATTAAATTATTCATTGTAAATAATGCATTCCCAATGTCTTCTCTCTGCAGTTCCCACAGTCGTGGGCCTTCTGTGAATTGGAGATTTATTTTTTATATGAAATTTATTCTTTTTCTCTAGTTCCTACTTTTGAATCATGTTGTGAAGCCATCTAAGAAATATAAATGGAAGCATTTTGTGATATTTTGTAATAACTAAGGAAAAATAAATCAGCAGCGGAGCTTAAGGTTGATTTTTCCCCCAAAATACTTTTTAGATAAGCACTGTAATTAAAGTTGCTGGTATATGAAGTATTATGCTATGTCCTAAGCGCACAGTATTATCATACTGTTGATCTGTCATTTGGGAAATGTAGATTTTCTGTATTTAGATTCACAGAATCCTAACATTAGATAGGTTTTCAGATCTGCTAGGATTCAAATGCTTTATTTTATAGATTAGGAAACCGGAGCCCAGGAAGAGTGAGTTGTGTCAGTCACAGTGCTTGGATCACAAAGGCTTTGGCTGATATACAACATTTCTGGAAAATTATGACCCTATAAGGCAAAATACAGTGGTCCCTTAGTGTCCGTGGAGCATTGGTTCCAGGACCCTCTCACCTGCCCACCCCATGGATACCGAAATCCATGGATGCTCCAGTTCCTTATATTAAATGGTGTAGCATTTGGATACTTTAAATCATCTGTAAATTACTTATAATGCCTAATACAATGTAAATGCTATAGTTGTTGTATTGTTTAGGGAATAGTGACAAGAAAAAACATCTTTGCACTAATGGTACAGATGTAATCATGCTTTTTTAAAATAGAATTTCTTTCAGTCTGTGGTTGGTTGGCTACATGGAAGTGGAAACCACAGATATGGAAAGCTGACTATATATATTTTTAGTACTGCCTTTTATAAAGTATGGTTGACTACATTTAAACATTTTGAAAGAGCTCTAAAGAAAAATTTATCTGACATTCAATCCGATTTCATAATTGAACAGATTTTCACCTCTCTATTGCACTGAGTTTCTTACACATTAATATGGCTATTAGTGACACCCTAGAAGAACTAAGGTTAAAAGGGTAAATATAACTTTGGAATTATTTGTATTTGTTGCAAGAATTAAGAATTATTAGAGCAGAAGGAAAAGGAGTATAATATGATGAAGTAGAGGAAAGTTTATATATAGAATTTCGTACCTTAAGGCATTACTAAAAGGTAAAAGCCCTTAACTTCACAGAGGCATCAGTGATATTTAGACAAGCATTCCTAGACTTAGTCTCTAAAAAATGATATGCAAATCTGATTCACGTCTATTGTTGTCAAAAAAGAGCTAGGAAGAAATTAACGTATTTTGAGACAAAACTGAGCAAGCTCATTGAAACAATAATGAAACAGCCTCTAGTAGGACAGTTCAAACTTGAATCCATTCTCTGGGCTTTAATTTTAAAATGCAAAACCATCTTGTGACTGACAGTTTACTGGTATCAGATATACCATCCCAGCATATCTCTGGTAGCCTTAACTTTGTGGTACTGAATAAGATTCACATTTTTTACAGAACCCAAATGATGATTATTCCTAAATTGCAGTGTTCAAAATACTGTAACTGTGTTCCTGCAGTCTCTGTTTGTTTTATAGCTCTTTTGGGTATCATCTCTTTTACATTTTCATCCTCACCAATTATGAGCTCCTTGATTGAATCATTCATTATATTGCCTAGCTCTTTTATTGAGTATCTTTGGTTTTAAGCTATAGAAATGCAAATCGAAGGAGCATAAGCCAATAGAGGGAATGAATATACTGATTTCCTTCCAGAAATCAGAGAGAAAGCAGAACAAGAGCTATGCTTAGTAATGATTTAATTGAAGGACTGGTTACGATTCCTCATTACGAGAATGGTGTTGAAAAACAGGGATTCTAGAGCTGGAGTGTCTCCTTTGCCACTTAACCAACTTTGTCACTTTGGCAAGTTATTTAATCAACTTTTCTCATTTCAGTTTCTTCATATATAAAATGAGGATTATAATGGTACCTACTTCCTGGGGTTTCATGAATTATTGTTACATGGAACGTACTTACAATAATGCCTTGTTCAAAATAGAAGCTATATAAATGTTGTTGTTGTATTGCTATTTATCTACTTAAATAACTCTTACTGTAGTATATATTGCTCAAGGACAGAGACTGTGTTGCTCATCTTTGTGTTATCCCACTTAGCATAGTTTCTAAGCAAAAGTATAGTTCTTTCATATATGCTTATCAAGTAAATGAATTTGACTCTACTTCCTAATGAACTATTCAGAAATTCATGTTTACTATTTTAGCAATGAGAACACTGAGACTTAGCAATATGTTATCAAAGACAATACAACTAGGAAGTAGATCTAAAATAAGAAATCTGATGTGTTGGCCGGGCACGGTGGCTCACGCCTGTAATCCCAGCACTTTGGGAGGCCGAGGCGGGCGGATCACCTGAGGTCAGGAGTTCGAGACCAGCCTGGCCAACATGGTGAAACCCCGTCTCTACTAAAAATACAAAAATTAGCCGGGCATGGTGGTGGGTGCCTGTAATCCCTCCTACTCGGGAGACTAGAGGCAGGAGAATTGCTTGAACCCGGGAGGCGGAGGTTACAGTGTGCCAGGATTGTGCCGTTGCACTCCAGCCTGGGTGACAAGGGCAAAACTCCATCTCAAGAAAAAATAAATTAAAAAAAAAAAAAAAAAGAAAGAAAGCAATCTGATGTATTGCCTACTAGTTTAGTATCCTCTCCCTTATCCCAGCTTTGAGAAAAAGGTTTGATCTCTCATGTCAACTCTGGTTGATTTGTGGTTGTTTCCTGCTGCACTGTATTGAGAACTCTGGAACTACATCTGAACTTTGCAAGAAGGAATACACTGTGTAATAAGCGTTTGCTGCAAGGCCTGGGATGGCCTCAGGATAGTATCACTTCTTTTGCTGTACTACTCTCATGATAAAGACATTGCAAATGATATTTTACCTAAAAATACTATATCTTTTTTTCTTGTAATATAGGAGATTTTAGTTCCTAAAAATGGGAAGAACCTACATTGTAGAAGAGACTGTTGGCCAGTATCTTTCAAACATAAATCTCCAAGGAAAGGCTTTTGTCTCTGGCCTTTTAATAGGACAGGTATGTATCTTTTACTCTGTATTTATTACTAAATAATTACTCTGTAATTTATTAAAACAAATTACTTGTTTATTTAAAGTTAAAAGATGCTGTTTAATAATAAACTCAAGGTTGGGGGATGGAAGAAGGAATGTAGAAGAAGTAATTTTAAAGTAGATCTTTGGGGAAACATGGAAAAGTGACAAACCTAGCCCAGTTTTGCTCAAGTCAGGACACCTTCCTCTTTCACCATGTAAAAGTAATTTATTACATGGAAACTTCAGAATTAGAATGTTCATTGACCAGATTATTCACATTTTGTTGTCTTTCCAGAGTGTTTTGTACTCCCTTCTAATCTTTCTAATATCTGGTTATTCAATTCTTTACAAAGGAAGCTTTTGGAAATTTTATTCCTATTCTGATTTGTGTTGCCTTATATTAGACATTATAGCAACAGTGGTCATATTTTTATATGCTATAGTACCCATCTTACTGCATTTTTTTTTTATGTTGGATCAATAAGGAGGGAGAGGGATTGGGAAAAATTTGGAAATTAGACAAATTCTAATTTCTTCTTAGAGCTGTGTCTTAAAAATAGACACAAAATCAAACAGAGATTCAGGTACTTATTTGAAAACCTATGCCACTGATTTGTTACAGGTGAAAGAAGAACCTGTTAATCAGCTGGAGGGACTGGTCAGCAGTACAAAGCAAACAAACAAACAAACAAACAAAAAAAAAAAAAAAACGAGTCACACAGGCAAGCTGACTGTGTCTATCCAAAAACACTGGGGAGAGTGCACTTTGGCCCAAGGACTTGATTTTGAGGCCTACTAGCCAATAAAGCTCTTATTGGGACAATTTTCTTTCTAGATAACTTAGCCTGATGCCTTAGAATCTTCAAATTACGTAATTAACTTTTCTTATTCTGATTCTATCCATATTCCCAAGCTACTTTCTTTTATAGTTTGATGCCCCATGTTATCTATTTATGAAGAATACACTGTCCAGAGGACTCGTGTTCAGATGCCTTCATGACATTTTAGCTTTCTACATCATTCTGAATAAACTCTGTTAATGTCAGTCTAGCCATGAAAGACAGGCTCATTTTCAGAATTTTTACAAATCTCATTTCTTAATTTGCAAAACAGAGGGCACGTCTACATGGATCAACCAGGTAGCACCACCCTGTGAAGCCTCTCATTAGACAACCAGACCACCTCTCTTGAGAACAGTGTGAATTTCTTTTTAATTCAGTTACTTAGCATGTAATTCGGGGCTCTTTTTGTTAGGAGTTTTCTGTTTAAGTTTTTTTGTTTCTCTTTGTTTAAAATATTAAAGAGAAGAAGTCTTAGAGAAAGATGTGATCGGTAGAGATAAAAAGTCAGGGAGAAAGACCCTCTTCTAAATTTGTCTTAACTGGATAAAGGTTGTTTCTAAAGCTCAGGCAAACTGCCATCTTACAAATGAGTGTCTCATAATTTAAGGCCTTCCTTCCATCTGTCTTTATGCTTTAGTATGTATTGCTCAAGGACAGAGGAATTCATTCCTTTCAGTATTCTACATGCTTTTTCTTCGCTTTTCTTCCAGAGTTTATTGCTTTTTCCTCTCCTTCCCCTTAAGCTTGCTTGTTTCCTGGTCTCTGTCAGTTTTTCTTTTCAAAGTTATACATTTTATTAAGAAAAGAGAAGCCTTCTTAACTGAGACCTACCTTCTTTTCCTGTGTTTATTTGAATGTAACTTCCTGAAAATAACTGGTAGGAATAATTAATCTTATTTTCTATCCCAAGGTGATACTAATGATCATTTCAGGTCTAATACATTTCAGGTCATGTGTGGGGATGATACAATGCTAACTTGCATTAGCAGTGTTATTTTCACTCTTTTTTGTAGGAAACTTTCACTCTAGTGAAACTGAGCTATTAAATGTTCCCTACATTTATTTTTAGATCTCCCACCTTTGGTCACTACTTAACTGATCTTACAACTGAAGAACAGATTGGGTGTGGTGGTTCATGCCTGTAATTCCAATGCTTTGTGAGGCCGAGGTGGGAGGATTGCTTGAAGCTCGGTGTTTGACCTAGCCTGGGCAACATAGCAGGACTCTGTCTCTACAAAAAAGTAAAAAAAAAAAAAAAAAATTAGCCGGGCAATTGTGGCTGGTTGTTCAAGCCTTGTAGTCCTAGCTACTTGGGAGACTACTCGGGAGGATTGCTTGAGCCCAGGAGTTCAAGGTTGCAGTGAGCTGTGATCACGCCACTGCACTCCAGCCTGGGCATTAGAGCAAGACCCTGTCTCTAAATAAATAAACACACACACGCACACACACAAAGAACAAAAAACAAAACAGAAAAAACCCTTGAAGAACATAGAATCTGGTGTCACTTTGAATTGTGTCCCAAATTCCCTTTGTTATTCTGTGGAAATGTATGTGGAAGTTTCCCACTGTCATCATTTCAGTTAAAATAAGATACAAAAGGTCACTTGTTTAATATCACTGATATTTTCCAATCTGTTCACTTACTATTTATAAAACAAATATATCTAGAAAATATAACAAATATAACTAGAAAACTGAATAAGCATGTTACTTTTTAGTTAATGTAATTCATTCACTCATCCTGTAAACCATTTTTAGGGACCACTCTATGATTTATATTTGAGTTGTCCAAATAAATAAGAAGCTGATATTAAATACGTTAAAAGATAAACAACATGTGAGGGAAAGGTTGTAAGGCCACTCTTGAAAATTAGCCTCCCTTTAGCTTCCACTATAATATTGGTGTTAATGATTTAACCTGTTAACAAATATTACTCAGTTTTTGCATGTCATAAAAGCTAAGGAATTCAGGTATCACTCAAATTAGATTGAGGAATCAGATACCACTCTAACAAGCTTTTAAATTTGTTTTTGAAGTGTTCTTCACAAAAGGATTATGTGATTCTTGCCACTAGAACGCCCCCCAAAGAGGAACAAAGTGAGAACCTCAAACATCCCAAAGCTAAGTTGGATAACTTGGATGAAGAATGGGCCACAGAACATGCCTACCAGGTTATCTTATTTTTCTGTTTATATGTTTTAGTTTTATTTCAAAAAAGCTAGAATCAAGAAGATTTAGTGACTGAGTAGAGAGAAGAGACATAGGGAGAAAGTAGCTAAACATGACTGAGATTGTTAGCTGGGGTGTCTAGGAGGATAGTGTTGGCATTATACAAAGAAGAAACAGATTTGGGATGAGTGAGTGGGAATAATGACTAAATTCACTTACAAGTATTTATTGAATGAATTATGTATCATCAAATACATAATGTTAGAATAAGCTAAAAATAGAATTATTTCCTTTTCTGGGGTTGGGGGTAACGGGAGGGAACTTAGAGGACGAGTCAATAGGTACAGCAAGCCACCACAGCACACGTATACCTATGTGACAAACCTGCCCATTCTGCGTTTTTGGGTTTTTGTTTTTTTGAAGAAAAAGAATTTTCTTTAAGAAATAAAAGAATTATTTCCTTTTCCAATCAACTTTAAATCTTTTAAACTCAAACGTGTGTTTCTGTGTGTATATATATATATACACAGACATATATCTGTATCTGTGTTTGTGTTTGTGATTATGGGGCAGTGCGTAGTTATATACAACAAAAATCCTGCCTGTAATCCCAGCACTTTGGGAGGCCAAGGCGGGTGGATCACCTGAGGTCAGGAGTTCGAGACCAGCCTGGCCAACATGGCAAAACCCTGTCTCTATTAAAAATACGAAAAATTAGCCAGGTGTGGTGGCAGGTGCCTATAATCCCAGCTACTTGGGAGGCTGAGACAGGAGAATTGCTTGAACCCGGGAGGCAGAGGTTGCAATGAGTCAAGATCGTGCCATTGTACTCCAGCCAGAGCGACAAAGCGACACTCTGTCTCAAAAAACAAAACGAAATAAAACAAAAAACAAAGAAATTCAATATTTAATTATTATTGTTTTAGTCCGTTTGTGTTCCTATTAAGGAATACCTAAGACTGAGTAATTTATAAAGAAAAAAGGCCTTTTTGGCTCATGATTCTGCTGGCTGCAAGATTGAGCATCTGGTGAAAGCCTCAGGCTGCTTCTGTTCATGTCAGAAGGCAAATTGGAGCTGGTGTGTAAAGATCACATGGCCAGAGAGGAAGCAAGGGGTTGGGAGGTGCCAGGCTTTTTGTTTTTTTTAACAACCAGCTCTCCTAGGAACAAATATAGCGAGAACTCGTTCGTTGGTGTGAGGATGTAACCAAGCCATTAATGAGGGATCTGCCCCATGACCCAAACAGCTTCCATTTCAACATGATGTTTAAGGGGGACAAACATGGCAACTATCTTCTAAAAAAAATATTAAGTATTGTAAAGTTCAATTCCCAATGGTTTGTAAATAACTTTCTACTCTAATTTTGCTTTTGGTCTCTCGTGAAATTGTATATGACACATACACACACACACACACACACAGAGTATTAATGAATTTATATAGTAAATTAGCTTAACCTTTTACCTCTAGAAAGAAAAGGTTGATATTACTTTTTCCTCTTTCTTGCTGTCACCTCCATCTCCTAAAAAATGGTTAATTTTTTGTGTTGGTGATTTTGAAAAGATAGCAGACTCCCTATGCTAAATATGAAAACTTTGTCAGATTGTGCTACTATAGTAAATAGAATTTATTAAATTAGAGGAAACCACCAGCAGACATAATGCAAGTAGATTAAGGATTAGAGCATGGTATCTAATTTTTTAAGACTCTACTCTGATTAATTGCTTATACATTAACTAATGAAAAGCTAACCAAAGCACTCTAATCTCTGAGTGTAGATGATAGAAAAAAATCCATGTGGTGTTAAGAACTAGCCACAATCATGTGAAGGGAAATACAAATATGGAGATATCATGGTAGTATGTATCGAAAACCTTGAAAATATGTCTAACTTCTTAAACCAGTTGTCCATCTCAAGGGATTTGTCCTAAACAAATAATTCTATGAATGCAGAAAGACGTACTAGGATTTTTAATCTATATTATTTTAAGGTAAAATTACATATAAATGCCCAATATCAGTAAATGGGCTTAAAAATTTGAGGTTAATCTATGCGATAGAAAATAATGGATTTTCAAGTCAGACTCCCTCTGTTCAAATTCCAGATCTAGTATGCTGCTAAAAATAGGGATACAAAGGTAGAATTACTTACTCCCTTAAGGAGCTCCCTGACCAACTAGTAGGGTTCACAGATAACTATAATATAAGGCTGTGTGATAAAATCCTTGGGAAAACTACCCCAAAGCCCTATGGGAGTTCAGAGATCAAAGGATCAGAGAAGGCAGCTTCCTCAAGCTGCCTTTGAAGTATCCAGTAGAGTTGAGACACGTAGAAATATAAGAGAAAGTCATTTTTGGCCTAGGGAGCACCCTGAGTAAAGACATAGGGTTAGGAAGCCTAGGATGTATATGGGAAACAGTTTATAGCTCATTTGACTCTGCTTTTCAAGTAGTTTTTGACAAATATTTGAATTACTTGAGGAAAAGTAGTGTCAAATGAGGGTATAAATATCAGATTGACCAAATTCTAGAAAGTCTGAAATATCAATCTAAAATAAAACTTAATTTTATTTAGCTGATGGTGGGACACCATTGAAAAACTATTTCAGTCTTCGATCTCCTGAGAAAGGGGTTTATTTATTGATGTAGCTAAAGGATGTTGTTATCAGATAGTTTTATTTATAAAGTAGTTTTAAGGTGAAAAGCTAAGGACACTCTAAGAAGACAGTTTCTCAAACGGAAAGGATTGCGTATAATGCCAAATGCTTTTGTTAGCTAATACTATATTTCTATTTTTAGGTATCCAGAATGCTACCAGGGGGACTTTTAGTTCTTGGAGTATTTATTATTACTACTTTAGAACTGGCAAATGATTTTCAAAATGCCCTGCGTAGAGTAAGTTTGATATATCGAAAATTCTTAATGAAATCAGTTATATGTTATTTTTATTGATTATGAGTATATATAATGATTCTAGGCATATTTAAATTTGTTTTCCATAATTCTTTTTGCTGGGGTTACATTGAAAAAGCTTTTTTCACTCGATTTCTTGGATATCTTGAGTGTAAAAACTGTTTATATATTTAAAAACTACATATTTTAAAATAGTCTTTATTTTAGAGACAATTCTAACTATTAGGAAACAAGTTATAATGCTTTAACAGTTTTTCTTGTACAATAGCAGTATTCTGTCACACATTCCATTTAGCACCTAGTGATTATTGTAATATGAAATTAATAGGTGCTGAAATTCTTTACCTTCTTTTCAATTCTTCTTGGATCCCAAGAGTAAAAACATAAAGAATCAGATTATTCCTGGACACAGTATCTATCAGGAATCTCCTGTGTTTTTTGCTTAATTACTGCACCAGAGAATAGGGTAATGTAGTGTAAAAGTAAATATGAAGTTGCACAAGCTGTTTTCCCTTAAACCCAAACCTAAGGTAAACTCTGTGTAGCCAGTTCTTTCAACATTCAGGACCCACATGAACTTTTTGAAGGGTATTTCATACCCCAAAAGGGGGGGACCTTTTAATCTTGAGACATATAAAACCCAACCTCAGCAGTATCCCACAAAAAGTGTGCAGCTGAGAACTTAGATGTTACAGATTTTTTCAGTCTTGTAACCTGTCCTGTCAGATGTCCAAGCCTCAAGCCTCTGATATTTGCACCTAAGGGAGTAAGGGAAGAAAATGGAGATATTCTCCCTGCTAAATTGTTTGACCCTCTGCCAATTTTTCCATCTTAAATAAATTTACCTTGTTCACAATTGTTCATTCCCTTTGGCATTTTGAAATTTAACCTAAATCTATGCGTATTTAATATTAATAGCATTGATTGTGCACTCTTTTGTGGCTGGTGCTGAATTGAGTGGGTTGAATGTGGGCCCAGTGCTAGAGGGATATAGCCAGACCCACTTTCCTTGCTTTTGTATCTTTTGTTCCTAAAAAGTATATAAAACTTTAGAAATGCTTATCTGTAAAATTACTGAGTTTCAATTATCTAATTGTTTCCATTGGCTTACATTGACCAACACTATAAGAAACAGCCTTATAAAACTTGTCAGTGTCACCCATTGTTGTTAAGAACTTTATTCATCATGTTACATTAATATTGTGTTTCCAGAAGAAATTTCTTTTTATATCATGAAGAAAGTTGTGCCTCCTCTGATGATTGTTTGTCTTCAGCTTACAGACCATGTGAATTAGGTTACAGATTAGATTTCTCTCTGTGCATTATTGTTAGAAAGCTTAGAGCGAAATGTGTTACCACCCCTTATATCAAGTATGCATTTTTATAATTCTTATTTCTGACACAAATTTATCTCACTCTTCTACTTTAACTTTTAATTTATGTTATTACTATATTTTATATGTTGTTATATATTGCCTTAAGTCTTGTGTGACATTTAAACAAGAAATGCTAATGACATGCTTGATTTCTTTAGTTAAAATCACTTGTCATTTCTCATTCTAATGAAAATAAAGTCTCTGTTCTATAGTTTATGTAAATTCTAGTTGCCCCAAATTAATTGTTCATGTCCAGTTAATCACTAATGACAGTGAATTACATTTTTTTATTTAAACCCAATTTTTTTGTAATTTCCTAAAAGGGACTCAAAAGGTTAGTAATTAGCTCCAGTCTTTAATTTGAAGAAAAGAAAAATTAATGGTGGCACACACCTGTAGTCTCAGCTACGTGGGACGCTGAGGTGAGAGAATTGCTTGAGCCCAGGTATTGAAGGCCAACTTGAGCAACATAATGGGACCCCTTCTCCAGTAAATAAAGAATCATGAAATTTTAAAGCTAGATGAGAGTTGGGGACATTATAATTGCCTATTTCAACACTCACTTTTTTTTTTTCATTTTGCATTCAATTGATGTGTATTTTTCTCTTTCAGCTAATGTATGCTGTGGAAAAGTCTATAAATAGAAAGAGATTGTGGAATTTCACAGAGGAGGAGGTCTCAGAACGAGTGACACTTCACATTTGTGCTTCTACAAAAAAGTATCTTTTGTTCAGTTTATGGTTTAAAAGTACAAAGTACCAAAATAATATTATTGCAAGGTTTTTTTGCTATTTAAATCATCATTTAAAAAATAGGCATAGTTTTGTAAGATTTTTCTGTAAATAACATGGAATTAGAGCTGCTAATAATAATAATAGCAATAATGGTTGTTAATCATGTCTCAAGGTCATAAAAAGCTTGAGATCTGAAATATGAAAGTCTCAGGATTTTGAATTTTTTACCTATCTGCCCCGGTACATCCAAGCACAGTAGGTTCTCTACAGAGATAAATGCCTAATTCATGACTTAGGCAAAGTAGTGTTTTTATTATGTGAAAGTTTTCACCTCCAGTTTCGATAGATAATGATGTACAATTCAAAGCACAGGTGCATAGAGCTGGATAGTATAGGACATCCGAGAAATTCTTATGTCTTTGGCTAAGATGAAATGACACTAAAAGCCAGTTACAGGGCCTCCTTACCTTTTCTTGTCTACACCTTGCCAGGGCAAGGGTACTTCCCAAGCAAGGGTCAGCCTCACCGAAGGAGTGACATGATTGATGGACTTCCAAAGACAGAATTTTAAAAGTGACCATTCCTGCAGAAGCAGGGCTTTTTTTTTTTTTTCTTTTTGTATCTTTAGTATTTAACTGCAAAGTTTCATGTACAAGCCCTTTAATCCAGTAAATAGTCTCAGGTTTGACCTCATATAAAACAGTGCTACTTTTTTTAATGGAGAATGTGTATTTGAGCAGAATTTCACAAGTGCTTTAATTCTATTTATTGCAATTAGCGGGATTCATAAAAGGTAGGAAATGAGTTTTGAAGCATCTCAAGTACTATAGTGACAGCAGTTTACATGTATGACTACATACATATATTTATACACATGCACACATGTATACATATATGTACGCATATCTTTAAAGTTATGATTTTGTAAGAACTTTTGGATGTGTGCATTTTTTAGTTTATTTTTTGATGGTTTATATTCTTTTAGTTATCAATAATGCCTTTTTTGGTTATTTCTTTCCTTAATTAGTAAAGAATATTTTGTCGAACTTATGATATGCATGATCCAAAGGTAAGAAATTTACTCTTTAAAGATTTTTCTGTGTCACAAAGTATTTTCAATCAAAATTCAGCTTTATATTTAGTTTTAATAATTTCCATTGCCATCACTTCCTACTGATGTCTACAGCTAACTATAGTTTTTACTTTGAACTATGATTAATTTTATTAAAGGTAAGGAAAACTTTTGTGTGTGTGACAGGGTCTCACTCTGTTGCCCAAGCTAGAGTGCAGTGGTGCAGTCATGGCTCACTGCATCCTCCACCTCTTGGGCTGGAGGGATACTCCCATCTCAGCCTCCTGAGTAGCTGAGACTACAGATGTGCACCACTGCACCGTAATTATTTTTGTTTTTTTGTTTTTTTTGTTTTTTTTTGATAGAGATAGGGTTTTGCTATGTTACTCATGCTTGTCTTGAACTTCTGGGCTCAAGTGATCTGCCTGCCTTGGCCTCCCAAAATGCTGGGATTGCAGGCTTGAGCCACCAGGCCCAGCCAACTTTTAAAAAAATTGTTAAAATATCTTTGTTAATCTCCTCCTGCCTTGTTTGTGTATTTAGTTTTATATTTGAGAGGCTGGTAATAAAAGTGACTGAGGACTTTGGTAGCTGCAATGCCTACTGAACAAGCTATGTGTATTCAGCAAAACCCAGACTAGCACTTTGCTAATGCATCTAAAAGGGTTGTGAAAAAGTAACTTTGCAGTGTCATTAGCAAGGATGGGACAGAAGGAGAATGCCTGCCACCTAGGAGTTGCTCAGTGATTATTTGCTTCACATCAGAATCTTCGATATTGATACTGTTGAAGCTAGAGGATCAAAGGACCTTTCATAATTCTAAACATGGAAATTTCTGGTTCTTTTTCTGTCTACCATTGGGAGGAGCAGTGATGCCAAGGATGCCAAGCTTGAAGAGTACTGAACTTAACACATGCTTTCTTTTGTATTTAGTTCAACCTGTAGTCTTTTGATCGAGGGTTTAGCCATATATGTTAGATATCAGCTTGTATGCGTTATTTAGGTTATATACTTAATGATGTTTTGTTGATCCATGTATTTTATCTAGACCACATCATAGTTATTTTTCTCCCTTCTCCACTACTAGGGTTCAGCAAGACCAGCAGATTGGAAGTATCAAAGTGGATTATTATCCTCATGGCTTTCTTTAGAGTGTACAGTTCACATTAATATTCATATCCCACTTTCTGCTACTTCTGTCAGCTATACTCTGGAGAAAAATACAAAGGTATCAGGGTAAAATGAATTTTCTTCAGTGATTGCTAAGTGAACAATCTGCTTTTATTTTGCTTGCATGTGTCATTCATTTTACAATCCTAAAAAATTACATTCTGTTTATAATAATGTTATATGAGTGAGTAACCATAGCCACAGCCAAATTAGAAATTTTTAGAAGTGGAACAATGTCATAATACTAGTGTATTCAGTTTAATAATAACTAATAATTTAGTTATTGAACTAAATACACTAGTATTTATTATGTGCCAATTAAGTATTATTATGTGCTTTGTCATTAAACTAAATACACCAGTATTCATTAATTAACATATGTAAAATGTAATTAATGTACGAAGTTATAGTGTTTGGACTTTCAGCTTTCTCTTGGTACTTAGATTTTTTGTCTTTTTCCAGTTCTTTTTTGTATTTCTATACCATTCTTTTATTTTTATCTTATTTTTCTTCATTTTTCCCATTGAAGATGTCAAATGGAGCTTTTTTAAAAAAAATTATTTAGACGTATTATTTGAGGTTTTTTTCTCACTTTTTTTTTTTTTTTTAAGGTAATGGGCGTTAAATTTTATTTAACTGGTCATGTACTTAATAATCTCCCGAGTCTGTGACATAAATGTTATTCTGGGATAAAGATCAGAAAAAAACTATATTATTAGATATGATAAGGTACCAAGAATTGGGGGGTATAATTTTTTTTTAATTTGTGAAACTAGATTTAAATGCTGCATTAATGAGACTTTTAGGGATTTTAATATTTCAGTTTATTAGGTGAAAAAAGTAGATTATAGGAAGTTTAATTGAGATAGGAAATCTGAAAGATTTCCATGTTGTGTTTCTCTTAAGAATGGACTTACACGCTGGGCCAAGGAAATAGAAAATGGTGTTTATTTGATTAATGGACAAGTTAAAGATGAAGATTGTGACCTATTAGAAGGACAGGTGAGTTAAGAGAAAAATCATCTTATTAAATTGTTAATGCTTAAGGAAAAATAAAAGATAACTTATTTTTAGTCCTTGCCTACAAGAAAACTGATTTCATCTACCTCTCATTTATAATTTCTTTTAAAATAAAGGGCAAATGTTTTTCTTAGAAAAACAACCCCATTAAAAAGTAGGCAGAGGACATGAACAGACACTTTTCAAAAGAAGACATACATGCAACCAAGAATCGTATGAAAAAGAGCTCAGGATTACTGATCATTAGAGAAATGCAAATGAAAACCACAGTGAGATACCATCTCACACCAGTCAGAATTGCTGTTATTAAAAAGTCAAAAAATAACAGATGCTGGTGAGGCTGCAGAGAAAAAGGAATGCTTACACACTGTTGGTGGGAGTATAAATAAGTTCAACCATTGTGGAAGGCAGTGTGGTGATTCCTCAAAGACCTAAAAACAAGGATACCATTTGATCCAGCAATCCTATTACTGGCTGTACACCCAAAGGGATATAAATTGTTTTATTGTAAAGACACATGCATACATTACGTTCACTGCAGCACTATTCACAATAGCAAAGACGTGGAATCAACCTAAATGCCCATCAATGATAGACTGGATAATGAAAATGTGGTATGTACACACCATGGAATACTATGCAGCTGTAAAAAAAGAACGAGATCATGTCCTTTGCAGGAACATGAGTGGAGATGGAGGCCATTATCCTTAGAAAACTAATGCAGGGGCCAGGCGTGGTGGCTCACATCTGTAATCCCAGCACTTTGGAGGGGCTGAGGTGGGTGGATCATTTGAGGTCAGGAGTTCAAGATCAGCCTGGTCAGCATGGTGAAACCCCGTCTCTACTAAAAGTACAAAAGTTAGCCGGGTGTGGTGGCAGCTGCCTGTAATCACAGCTACTCAGGAGGCTGAAACAGAAGCATCACTTGAACCTGGGAGGTGGAGGTTGCATTGAGCTGAGATCGTGCCACTGCACTCCAGCCTTGGGCTACAGAGTGAGACTCCATTTCAAAATAAAAGAAAAGGAAAAAAAGAAAACTAGCAGAGAAACAGAAAACCAAATACCATATGTTCTGACTTATAAGTGGGAGCGAAACAACGAAAACACATGGACACATAGAGGGGAAAAACACACACTAGAGCCTATCGGAAGGTAGAGGGTGGGAGGAGGGAGAAGGAGAGAATCAGGAAAAATAACTAATGGGTACTAGGTTTGATACCTGGGTGATGAAATAATCTGTATATCAAACCCCTATGACTCAAATTTACCTATGTAACCTGCACATGTACTGATGAACTTAAAAGTTAAAAAATAAGTAAGTCCAAGAAAAAAAGAGAAAATGATGTAATTGAAATCCCGAAACTTATGGGAGTGTCATCTGAATTTCATTTAATTTCCAAATTGCAAATTGCTGACCTGCAACCAAAGGCCACATGTTGTTCTGCCCTCATGGCAGTTCAAAAGCTATGGCAATTTTATAAGAGAAGTCTATAGAGGCTTCTAAAATAGCTTTGACCTGAAGGAAGCAGAACTTCTGTGATCCCTCCCTTTTCAAAGCAGGGATCAGCAAACTTTATGTGAAGAGAAAAATACTACATATTTAGATTTCACAGTCTGTATTTTTATCTCTACTGTGTAGCATGAAAGCAGCTACAGGAAATATACATAAGTGAACGATCCTGGTTGCATACCAGTAAAACTTTATTTACAAAGACAGGTAGCAAGGTGGGCATTTGCCCACAGGCAATGGTTTGCCAGTTGTTACTTTAGAGGAATGAAAGTATGGAATTAATTGTTTTAAAGACTGCACATTGATCCAGAATACATAAAGTAATATCTATGTAAAAAACTAAATTAAAATAATTAAAAGACTTGTTTTTTCTAAGTTACTTAGTACATCTACAATAGTCTAAGTTGTCTTTTATGTTCTGTAGTCTTAACAATTTGGCTTTTTAACTTTTGTGTTTTTTCAGAAAAAATCTTCTAGAGGAAATACTCAAGCAACTAGTCATTCTTTTGATGTCAGAGTGCTAACGCAGTTGGTAAATATTTTAAAATACCACTTATTTAAAATATTTATTAGACTAACCATAATGAAACTTTCTGTTTTTATGTTTCTCATTAGAGAATAAAAGGATTTTAGAGCTGTAAGAGACTGTATGAAATGGCTGGTTATAGGAACGTTATTCCCAAGAAACGTCATTTTAATAAAACCTGTTTGGGTTTTTTGCCTTAAGGATATTAAAATTTTAACATCAATAGCAGTTGAAAAAAATATGTACATATACATACATACATACGTGATATGTATGCATGTGTGTAAATATTTTGGGTTGTAGCTTTTATAGTTAAAGTTGCAATTTTAACAACTTAAAAGTAAAAGATGTGTATACAGAGGTGCAAAGAGTTTTCATATGCTTAATTTGAAGTAGATTTATTAGATTTATACCCCTTGATTTTATAAAAATTACAAAGTATTAATTAGCAAGTTTTATATTTCTGTATGGTTGCATTAATTTACACATCTTTTCGAAAATTTAAAAGTTGGGTATCTTGAAGAATAAAAAGTTAAAGCCACTAATTACTCCTAAAAATATACATGCCTTTGATTTTAATCCTACTTGAAATTATCCTAAAGAACAGACAAGGGTATAAAATAGCACACGCGTGTTTGTAGGAAACTTTATTTCAATATTATACTGAATTTTGAAACAGAAGTACTCTCAGGACTTGTCTTTTTTTGAACTGAATAGAATAGAATTAAAAGCAATTTGGCATTTGAGGATGTTTTAGTTTCTTCTTTTTCTGTGTGTAGCAATAGAGCATTAGTAGATTGTCTTTGGACTTATGCCACTCAATGTGAGTTCTCAATTTCATTTTTCAATACCTTAGAAGTATTTTAGTCTTGATTTTCTACTTTGTCTTGATTTTAGAAGTGTCCTTTGTTTTGAGGCTGGCTATTCCTCTACTTATGTGCTCTTCACTAGTTAGGCTTACTACATGGTTTATTAAACAATTTGGTTAAGATTATTTTATTAATAGTATAAAATTGTAGTTGGGAGATGTATAGAGTGTGGGAATATAGAGAGATGAGTGAAAGATAATCTCATGAGATAATTTATTGTAGTAATATTATATAGTATATTTTTGGCAGTCACTCCACCGATCACTTAACTGGAAATTTTGAAGTGACTAATATACAATAAGTAGTCAGTACTTATTGCCACTTTTCTCCCAGTTAAGTCTCATTGATTCCTTATTTGTAGTATTAAGCTTTTCTTTTATTTTTCATACGGTCCTGCTGTTATTAGCCTTACAACACTATTATTTTACCTAAATTAGCACAAGTAACCCTTAACTGGTCTCTCTTCATCTATACATTCTTGTCCAAACTGATTGTTTCTCTAAAAACCCTTCTACCTTTGTTGGTATATCTCTTGAAATACTTTCCATTTATCTACTCTATCCTGTTTATACACTCAGATGATCATTTCTGAATCATAGTTTATGTTCAGTTATTAATTTTTTTCAAGAAGTATTTATTGAGTTTGTACAATGGCCAGACACTGATTATGTTATTCTTCTTGCTCAAAATTTCTCAAGTGTTCTGTACTGACTAGTTAGAGAAGTCCAACTCAGGGTTCTTCATAGCCTCAACATACCTTTTTGTTCTTTCTTTCTACCTCTTATTTTCTAGATGTATGCTTGCTGTACCTTTAAAACTCTGTATTTCCTGAACTATGTGTTATGTCTTTGCTCTTCTCTCTGTCACCCAAACTGTCAAAATCCTATCAGTACATTAAGATCTAGCCCAAATGCCATTACTTGTGTAAGATTTCATTTGGTTCCCATAAAAATGGGGAATCTTCTCTTTTTCAAATGCCGTGTTAGCATCACAGAAGTTCCTTTACCTAAAGGCTGTTTGTCAGCCAGGTTATTCCTAAGTCCAGGTAATCAAGAGGAGTTTACATTTATAGACCCCAACTAGTTTACATTTCCACCTAAAAGGAATGAGTCAGACCTTATATTCTTTAAAACTTTTCCTGGCTGAGCATGGTAGCTCATGCCTGTAATCCCAGCAATTTTGGGAGGCCTAGGCAGGGTGATCGCTTGAGCCTAGGAGTTCAAGATGAGTCTGAGCAACAAGTGAAACCCTGTCTCTACAAAAAATACAAAAATTAACTGGGGGTGATGGTGTGTGCCTGTAGTCCCAGCTACTCGGGAGGCGAAGGTGGGAGGATCGATTGAGCCTAGGATCTTGAGGCTGCAGTGAGCTGTGATAGCACCACTGCACTCTAGGCTGGACGACAGAACGAGACCCTGCCTCAAACAAAACAAAACCAACCAACCAAGCAAAAAATACCTCTTTTCTTTAATATGTGTGTATATGATCTTTAATAGTCTAGTCTATTTTGGAAAACAGTGCCCTAATTAAATATAGATAGATAAATAGCTAGCTAGCTCGATAGATGTATATACACACACACACAAATATTTACATATACTAATATGTAATTGTGTTATATGTTAAAAAGATATACGTTATATATTAAATATGTAAAATAGGGCATTCTTTTTAGAGTAGTTTTGTCTACAGTAAAAATTTATGGAGTAGATAGAGAAAGCCTGTTATTCCTCCTCCAACCCCACCTTATTGATATATCAGTGAACTCTACATGTGTCATATGGAAGCTTATTCCAGATATCGTATCAGCATGGTCAGACTGCTGCTTGGTTTGATGATAGCCATTTTTGAATGGACCCAGGACCTTTGGAGCTGTGTGTTCTGAGGCTAATTTTTTATCAACAAGTCCTTGACCATGTTAGAGTTTAAATTGTTTAACAACACCTAGAAGGTTTACATTACCTTAGATATTGCCTGAATTACACTAGACATCAAATAATGCTCTTTTGATAGCTATGCATTTAAATATTCTACTCTTCATTATTTTTCCGCATTTATTCCTGATTGCGTAAGCAGATAGGCACAGAGCACTTTTCACAAGTTGTGTAATTTGACTCTTGTTCTTCAGAATTGATTTTGTTGTTGAATGACTTATACTCCAAGTGTTCTTAGAACATAAATTACTTCCTTACCATTTCCATTTTTTGGTTATCTTTTTAAATCATGATTTTTTGTTTCCATTATTATGAGCCTCTATTACAGGTTGAGTGTGCCTTATTTGAAACACTTCTTAGGACCAGAAGTGTTTTGGGTTTGGGATTGTTTTAGATTTTGTAATATTTGCAGAATACATACCAGTTGAGCATCTCTAATCCAAAAATCTAAAATCTTATATGCTCTAATTAGCATTTCCTTTGAGCATCACATTGGTGCTCAATGAGTTTTGGATCTTGGAGCATTCAGGATTTTCAGATTAGGGATGTAGTACTTTAAAGTTACTTTAAAGTTAAAGTACCTGTAGTACTTTAACTATTTTGATACTATCCTTGTTTTTGGCACTTATTAAGATGATGAGGTTGAAAATATATGTGAAACACCTGAAAACCAAACAAGAGCACTGGCATTCCTTAGACTGAAGAGGATGGGACTGTGAGATGAAAGTGACTGCTTACGACCACTGATACCATTTTCTGATAGTAGGCATAGTTGACTTGTTTCAGTTTTGCTCTGGAGCATAGGATTACTTTTAGTCTATGATTTTGGTTGAAAGTGTGTAAATGTATGTGTCTGTGCATTGCTTATAGTTTTACCATAGTTCTCACATCCCACTTTGTTATTGTTGAACTTATTTTGCATTGCACAACTTACATCTACTACATCATGTCTTTGTACATCTTTTAATCATCACAGTACTGATGTGAGTAATTTGCAAATAATATATTTTTAGGAACATATTGAGTGAATATTGAACCATTTTAGATGGTTATGTTAGAAAAATTTAGATGTAGTTGTGTTTAATTTCAGTATACTTTCAAAATGCCTGGAAAATAATATATAACTTATAAAAACAAATATGAAGGCCTTTAAATAATTTGCGGCAAATAATTTCAAATGCTTGGCTCAGTCAAAACTTTCTTCTGTCTTCATAAAATCTCTAATATAATGTTTAAGTATTTCCTGTAGTTAATCATTGTTGGCTGTTAGAACTTAAACAGATTTTGTCTTTCAGCTCCTGAATTCAGACCACAGATCCACAGCCACAGTCCAGATATGTAGCGGTTCTGTAAACCTTAAGGGTACTGTGAAATGCAGAGCTTATATCCACAGCAGTAAACCCAAAGTTAAAGATGCTGTGCAGGTACAAAAAGGAATAACTAGTGAATGAAAACATGTTAACTATTAACAAAAACCTAAAATTTTACCTTTTTTTATCTTATATTTTATAATTATTCATTTGATTTTAACTGATAATGGCCTATTTTGCAGTCCAAATGTACCATATAACTGGTGTCAAGATTTTCATATGTAGAGGATCTATTTTGTGCCTTTTTAAAAATGATGGCTATACAAGTTTAGTAAGTGTTCCACAGTTGTACATATTAGTATCTAATTTGGAACACTGCAATTATTTTTTTAGATGTGAAACTTTATTCATTTATTTGGTTTTAATTATTTAGATATGGTCTAGGCAAATTTGTCATTAAACTATACATTTGTTAATAAGTGTGCTAAATAAGTGGAAATAAAACATTGAATGATGTATCAGTTATTTAGTGGGCATGATTGTACTGGAAAGCAAATTATGTTTTTTTGTTAGTTAAATAATGTAAATCCAAAGTATTTTATTTCTTACTGTGTTTTTGTGTGTTTTTCCCTGTAGGCAGTAAAGAGGGATATATTGAACACAGTTGCTGATCGTTGTGAAATACTATTTGAGGATCTGCTTTTGAATGAAATTCCAGAAAAAAAAGTTATGAGTATAAAATAAGTACTTTTTTGCCTAACTTCGACTGATATAGTAATAAGATATCAAGATATAGCAAATACATCATCTTTTATAGCTACCTGTCTGTGTTTTCAAACAGTGTATCATCTTTTATCATTGGATGAACATTTTTCAGTTGCTGCTCAGAAAAAAATTTTTTTTTTTTTTGAGACAGAGTCTCACTGTGTTGACCAGGCTGGAGTGCTGTGGTGCAGTCAGGGCTCATCTGAAGCCTCAGCCTCTTGGGCTCAAGCAGTCCTCCTACCTCAACCTCCCTAGTACGTGGGCTTGCAAGCATATGCCATGATGCCTGGATAATTTTTAGTATTTCTTTTTTAGAGACAGGGTTTCGCCGTGTTGCCCAGGTTGGTCTCAAACTCCTGAACTAAAGTGATCCACCGTCCTTGGCTTCCCAAAGTGCTGGGATTACAGGTGTGAGCCACCATGCTTGACTCTAGAAAAATGTTTTTGAACACTTTATCAAATTTAGCAAATTTGTCGACACTTAACAATTTTAGGGAAGATTTTTAAAAAAATTAATTCCAAGTGAACTTCTCCTGCCAGAATGAGTAAACCTTGTTGACATTTTAAAGTTAATATTTTTTGTTAATATCTATGAGTATTTTAAATAATTTAGCCATAATTAAAATATTATTTATTAGTGTTTAATACTATATAATAGGTCCTTTAATAGGTACTATTTACATAAACTACATGAGTTTATATGCTTCTCAGCTATTACTCTAACAGACTTCATTAGGTTTAAAAAAGGCTGAGTCACAGTATCTTACCCTTTAATAACGATTGCAACTTTTGGGAAACATAACAATTTATACCATCGCAGTAATTGGTATTAAAAATTTTTTTAATCAAAAGCAAATTCAAATACTGAGTACACTTTTTAAAGCTATATCATCATCTCCCCATTCTTATTATTCCAATGTCACTGGATTTGAGATTCACATTTAGATATGTACATAATTGAAACATTCATATTAGCTTCGGGTCCAGCATTTCTCCTGCCTCAGCCTCCGAGTAGCTGAGATTACAGGCACCCGCCACCACAGCTGGCTAATTTTTGTATTTTTAGTAGAGACAGGGTTTCACCATGTTGGCCATGCTGGTCGTGAACTCCTGACCTCAGGTGATCCACCCACCTCGGCCTCCCAAAGTGCTGCAGTTACAGGCATGAGCCGCCACGCCTGGCCCACATTAGCTTTTAAAGGGAATATTTTTATGTTTGTACGAAAACACAGCTCCTCTATTTAACCAACTTCTTTTAGTACTACTGATAGCTAGTATATTAAGTTTGATGGGCTAATTATAATCTTTTTTTATATTCCTAGTATGCTAGATTCTACGGATGCCAGATTTCACATTTATCCTTCCCTTAATTCACAATTCTAAAGTTCCATTTACTAATAATTTATAATTTTATTTGACTCTTACATGAAGCAATTGGATAGAGAGTTTTGGAAGGGCAGTATGTGGGACCTGTTCACATGGTCCATCAGTTTAGCAGCCCCATGTCAGTGTGGCTTTGTTTTTGCAATTTGACTTTGAGTTTGTGGTAACTCCTGTGGTGGAAATCATTGCTTCACTTTCTGAGCAACAGTGTATGTTATAGCTGCATAGCGAGTTTCAGGATTTTCAGGGTATGGGGATGTATCCACCATTAATGTTAAAGATCTACCTCTTCAGACACATTAGTATACTCTCTTCTATTTAAAAATCCTTTATAAAAGTGGTATTATATGGCTATCATGGTATTCTTTCATGTTCAGTTAGTATTTTGAAATTTTTGCTGATGTTCAATTAATAAAATTAATGGCCCCTAACAGCAGTTGTACTGTTCTTATGTTAAACTTGATGCATTTAGCAGTTAATGTTATAGCCTAATCCTAAATTTTTAAAAAGTGAAAAAGTTTTTACTGGTAATTGAGTGGCCTTGGGACCTGTGTGAAGAGCATAGACTGTAGTTTGGTGGAAAGAGTAAAGACTTTGAAGTTCTCAGGTTCTGTGTTTATTCTGCTCCTAGCAGAGTGACCTTAGGCAAACGACTTTATAGGCATTGAATTTTGCCTGCCTGCCTGCTTGCCTGCCTGCCTGCCTGCCTGCCTGCCTGCCTGCCTGCCTGCCTGCCTTCCTTCCTTCCTTCCTTCCTTCCTTCCTTCCTTCCTTCCTTCCTTCCTTCCTTCCTTCCCTCCTTCCCTCCTTCCCTCTTTCCTTCCCTCCTTCCCTCCCTCCCTTCCTTCCTCTCTCTTTCTCTTTCTCCTTCCTTCTTTGTTCCTCTCCTCTCTCCTCTCTCTCCCTCTTTCTATGATCACATAGGTTTTGACATTCTTTTGATGTGATATATCACATTATTCGCTTTTATATGTTGGATCATCCTTGAATCTCTGGAGTAAATCCAACTTGATTATCATGTATTATCTTTTTGATGTACTGTTGCATTTGGTTTGCTAGTATTTTGATGAGGATTTTTGTGTCTGTGTTCATTGGGGATATTGTGTAGTTTTCTTTTTTGTGTCTTTGGTTATTAAGGTTATGCTGATCTCATAGAATGAGTTAAGAGTTCTCTGTGCTTCCTTTTTTTGTAATAGTTTGAGAAATTGGTATTATTTCTTTTTTAAAGGTTCGGTATAAATCATTGGTAAAACCATCCAGTCTTGGAGTTTTCTTTGTTTGGAAATTTTTCGTTACTGATTCAATCATGTGATTTTTTTATTAGTCTGTTCAGGTTTTCTATTTCTTCTTGTTTTCTTTCTGTCTTTTTTTTCTTTCTGTCTTTCTTCTTCCTTTCTTTCTGCAAAGACTTTGAGGTTCTCGGGTTCTGTGTCTATTTTGCTGCTAGCGGGGTAACCTCAGACAAATGACTTTATAGGGATCCTCCCTCCCTCCGTCCCTTCCTTCCTTCCTTCCTTCCTTCCTTCCTTCCTTCCTTCCTTCCTTCCTTCCTTCCTTTCTTCCTTCCCTTTGCTTCCCTTCCCTCCCCTCCCCCCTCCTCTCCTCTCCTCTCTCCTCTCCTACCCTCTCTTCTCTTCTCCTCTCCCTCTCCTCTCCCTCTCTTCTCCCTCTCCTCTCCCGCTTCTCTCCTCTCTCCTCTCCTCTCTCCTCTCTTGTCTCCTCTCCTCTCTCCTCTCCTCTCTCCTCTCCTCCTCTTCCTTCCTTCCTTCCTTCTTTTTTTTTTTTTTTTTTTTTTTTTTTAATGAGAGGGTCTCTCTCTGTCACCCAGCCTGGAACGCAATAATGCAGTTATAGCTCACTGCAGCCTTGAACTCTTGGTCCTAAGCAGTCCTCCTGCCTCAGCCTCCTGAGTAGCTGGGACTACAGGCAAGGGCCACCGCACCTGGCTGATTTTTTTTTTTTTTAACTTTTTTGTAGAGACAGAGTCTTTGCTGTGTTGGCCTGGCTGTAGTCCCATGGCTGTGCACACGTATGATCATAGCTAAATACAGCTTTGAACTCCCGGCTGTAAGGGATCCTCCTCTCTCAGCCTCCCAGGTAGCTGGGACTACAGTTGCACGGCAGTATGCCTGGGTAATCTTTTAATTTTCACTTTTTTGTAGAGATGGGGCCTTGTTATGTTGTCCAGGTGGTCTCAGATTCCTGGCCCCAAGTAACTTTTTAATCGTATCTGTTGCTGAAAGAGGTCATTCTTTTCACAAAATTTCTATCTTTCTGATAGTTCATAAGAATCATAGTGTTGAACTTAAAAGTAATTATTTATTTACATGCAACAGTGACTATATTAGAAATTAGGAGAAATAATATATTCCAGTTTGTAAGTATTCAAAGAAGAATGAGATATTTATTTAATTTATTTAGATTTTTTTTTTTCTAAAAATGATTTAAGCATATAAATCTTTAATTTATAAATTAAACCTATAATTCCCAAAGCACTGGGAATTATAGGCATGAGCCACTATGAATGGCCCTATTTTCTTATATATAAAACAGGAATTATGGTAGCTACTTTTTGAGGCTGCAAGATTAAATGAGATGATGTTTGTAAGGCCCCTAATAAAATTGATTTAAGCCAAGCCCTCAGCAAGTGGTTTTAATACCATGTTGGAGATGGTGAAGGAGAACTACTTATGTTAATTGTCTTTAAAATGTCTTAACTTCAATTTTTGGGAAATTTAGCATATCTCAAACAGAAATAAGATGTAAATATATATTCAACACTTTAGTAACAGGATAATTATTCCAACAATGTATTATTTGATCTTAGGTATCAAGATAAAAGAATATATTGTAAGTGTGATAATATAAATAAATGTAAATTCTTTAAAATTTTTTTTAATTTTTAACTTTTGTGGATACATAGTAGAGAGATATATATATATATATGAGGTATATGAGATGTTTTGATACAAGCATGTGATATAAACTAATCATCATGGAGAATGAGTTATCCATCCTCTCAAGCATAAATAAATTAAATTCTGATGTTGAATTTATACACCAAATTGTTAGATTTTAGATTTTGTCCTCATTTTACTTAGCTTAATTTTCTTATATACTGGTAAGATCTTATAGATGCTGTAATACAGTAAAATGTAGAACGTATGCCATAAAATTAACCTGAATTAGAGTATTTTTGCATGCATGTGGAAGTCTGTAAAGGACATTATAACTTTCTATTTCTGATCTCTGAAGTAAACCTAGGCTTTTAATTTTGGCTATCCAGATAAAAGAACTTAGTATGTCAGTGTCAGTTAAAAAACAAAACAAAACAAAACAAAAAAACCCTCCAATTAATCCTTATACTTGTTGTGATCTTCCTCTTTGATTCCTCTTAAGATATAGCCTAAGCCTTCTTCACTGTTTTAAGTCTTCATTTGATCCTGCTCAACTTACTCTCATACATGACCTACTCATTGTGAAAATGGAGGTCATCAGTTATGAAACCTCTTACTTTTGCCCATCCCTACATCAGTATCCTCTATACCAAACTCCACTGTCTTCCCAGAACATTTGTAATCCTCTTTGCCTGTGCCCATGATTCCACTCTCTGAATAGCACTTTTCCTATCCCTTTATGCAGATGTCCTCCTGTCCTTTAATCTTCAGCTCTGCTATCACCTGTTCTAAAATAGTTTCTATAAAAAATAAATACATAAATAAATTAAAAGCTTCTATAGTACTGTGATACCAGCTAGGACATTTGACCAATAGAAACCCAATTCTTATTTATATTGGCTTAAATTTAGTTTTTTATTTGTTTTGAATTTATTCAGATAATTTTGAACTAAATACCGTGACATGAGGATATTCCTAAAGGATTCTGCTGTTGAATGCTTTTTGAGATGTGTCTTTTCAAAAAGATTTCTCCTCCCATTTAAACCTCAGACCAACAGAAAACGAGTCTTATTTAGATACTGAATTACTAATTTAACGTCTTAATTTGAAAGTTATAAGTGCTTTTTTAAATTAGTAATTTAAATTTATTGGAACCAGTTATTTAATGTTTAATTTTTTTAGCTTATTTTTCAGATAGACCAAGAATTGATGTAGTTTGAAATGGTTTTAAAATTTTGCATGCCAATTGCACATGCACATTATAGTCATTTTTAAGTTTTTATTTAATCTGTTTCAAGTAACTGTGGCCCAAAATAAAATAATATAGTCCTAATTTCAATGTGTGGATAATTTTTGTGCTACAGTACAAATTGCAGTACTATTCTTCCACAGCTAGGAGGCAGTCTGGTCAAAGAGTAAAATTTCTCTCCCAGTTCTCCTGTGCAAACAAGATGATACACCGAATCTGGAAGGAACACATAGTTTAAGCCATTGCATTTCCCGTGGCACTTAAGGCATTGTTCCTCATCTTCTGTTTGTAATTATGTAAAGTTACCACTAGTTTCTTGATAACGAAGTCTAGGTTACTATTAAAGTAAGCCCTAGTTTTCCACTTGATCTTTACATTAGTAACTTTTTAATCATATCTGTGGCTGAAAGAGGTCATTCTTTTCACAAAATTTCTATCTTTCTGTTAGTTCATAAGAATCGTAGTGTTGAACTAAAAAGTAATCATTTACATGCAACAGTGACTATGTTAGAAATTAGGGAAAATAATATATTCCAGTTTGTAAGTATTCAAAGAAGAATGAGATATTTATTATTTACTTCTATTTATTTTTTTCTAAAAATGATTTAAGGCTTTTTACAAAGAAGCATAAGTAAACAAGTGAAAATAAGTATTAGTAATAAAGAGTCAAAGGGAAGTTAAAGAAAGCAAAATGGAGTTGGTGGTGAGATTGGTACACAAAAAATGTATGTATGACTAGATGTCCTAAACATGCTTGATATAGGAAGGGGGCTGCATCTAGTAAGACCAAATTCATGGTGAGATTAGTACAAAAATGTATTCTGTCAGATCCTGTGCACTTGATGTAAGGTGGGTGGTAATTTGGCTCCAAACTTGGATGAAGAAGAGAAAAACCAACTGTAAAATGTACAGCGCCTATGAGGGTAAAACAAACAAGAGGGACAATGTTTCTGACATTAGGAACAAAATTGTCTCTTGAGTGTTCTTCATAGGACAGTGAGTCATATAAGAATGTGTAATCAACATCTTTACATTGAAGGCAATGATAAGTTTATTCTATTTTTATTTTTATTTTGAGATGGAGTCTCGCTCTGTTGCCCAGGCTGGAGTGCAGTGGTGCGATCTCGGCTCACCGCAGCCTCCACCTCCTGGTTCAAGAAATTCTCCTGCCTCAGCCTCCCGAGTAGCTGGGATTACAGGCACCCGCCACCATGTCTGACTAATTTTTGTATTTTTAGTAGAAATGGGATTTCACCATGTTGGCCATGTTGGTCTCCAACTCTTGACCTCAAGTGATTTGCCCACCTCAGCCTCTCAAAGTGTTGGGATTACAGGCATGAACCACTGCACCTGGAGATAAATTTGTTTTTCATAGGAGTATCATTTAGGTTTCTTGCAAAGACCAGGGATTTTGAGGTAAAGCACAATTTGGTAAGAGCAGTTTTGTGCCAGATCAACTAGAAAATGAAAAAATACTGACCTTTTTTAAGCTTTATTTCTATTAGTTTTTTTATGTACTTCTGAAATATGTATCACTGATACCAGTGACAAACCTATCTAAATATTCATAATATTTTTTCTCCTTTTAGATTCTGAAAAAGAGTTCCACATCCTCCCTTATCGAGTCTTTGTTCCCCTTCCTGGATCCACTGTAATGTTGTGTGATTACAAATTTGATGATGAGCCGGCTGAAGAAATCAGGGACCATTTTATGGAGATGTTGGATCATACAATTCAAATAGAAGATTTGAAAATTGCAGAGGAAATAAACACAGGTCATTATATGATGCTATTTAATAATCTGATTAGATTACAGCTAAGATTTTACCTATGAGGTGTCTAGTTTAAATGGCATGTCTTTAGATTTTTTAAAGCTAATTCTGTTTGACACTTCAAAGTATTAACTGAGACATTTTAAAATGTATGTTTAATTTCTACATGTCTAGACATAGAGTGAGTATTTCCTGGGAAATTGTACCAAAATTTAAGATACTAAGGTATTTTTCAAGCTTAGCAAGTAAATCTTAATAAAACAAGTTCAGCATTAAGTAGGTAAAATTACATGTCAGACTTGGTAAGTCTTACTTGGTAAGTAAGCACCATGTCAGAACAGAAAGTTTTAAAACACTAATTTACTAAACATTTTCTCCATATTATTTGCCTTTTTTTAAATATCCCTTTCATGTAATTGGGATACTACACCAAAATGGACAGTTCCAGAAATTAGATTACTTTCCTAGAGCATAGATTTGCTGTACTATCTGGGTTTGATAACACATTTTTTTCCCCTAGCCATCACTTTCACATTTGAATTTACACTTTGGAAGACTGTTTTGTTTTGTTTCACTTTCTTTTTGTTTCTAGTGAGTTCAGGGTATGAAAACATGTCTATAAATAAATATGTAAATTCCTTTTCTGATTTCTTAGTTATTCCTCTTTGCATAGTTAATTCTCCCTTCAGGAATAGGGTGTTTGATTCAGAGTGCACTTGAGATTATAGTGAGTCAAGTTAGTATTTGATTGGGGAACTTCAAATCATAGTAAACTGCCTCAAGTTAGTTGCAAACCACCCTTTAGTTTCAGCAATGCCAGATCGTGATGTAAAGCAATAAGCTTGTTTCAGTGGGGAAAATAAAATATACTGAATTACCCAGTACGTGGTGTTAAAATAAAGAAGCAACTACTTTCTAATCCCATGAAAACTAATAATTTTAAAGATATAACTGTAGCAGATGGAAAGTATTGGCTTTTTGAAAGTAGACTGTTAAAAATGTTTACTGCTTTCCAAAATTTATTTTCCCTGGTTAGTGACTGCATTATCTCTGCCAATGAAACTTAGAATCACGAGGACAGGGATTTTTGTTTGTTTTGTTCACTTGTCTATCGTTAATGCCTAGCAATAGTTCTTGAGCCATTCTGTTGTTGAATAGATCTTATAGTGTTGGTAGGATTATTCGAATTGACCTAATTTAACCTGTTAATACTGAAAACTATGTCCCTAGCAGATATAGTTCTATTCACCTTCTATTCTTCATTTTACATACCAATCTGCCTCCCTGTAACCTATTCTTTCAGTAATACACAGCAATAAAACATGAGTACCACTTCCTCGTTGAGACCATGCTTTAAATTTGAGAGCAACTGTTATATTCTAAATATTTCAAAGCCCTATATTCTCATCTACCTTAAGCTGTTCTTTTTATTATAGTTTCCAGACCACATTTTTTTCTTACCACCTTGTTTGCCTTCCAGTAGATTAGGAATTCTTAACCTGTGAGCTCCAAAACCTTTGGTGTCAGAGCTGAACTTTTAGAAGGTTGACAAACCACTTGAAAGTAATTGTATGATTTTTTTCTAAAGAAAAGGTTTATCGCTTTCAAAGAGTTGGTAACTAAGAAAAATTAAAAATTACTTCTTAAATATACTCTGGTTTGCCTTTCTTGAAATATGTTACCCTGATGAAGCTAATGCTCTAAAACTAATATCAGCCATTATTTATATATCTGCCAGGCACAGTTTTAAGAGTCTTACAAATACCAGATTATCATTCCTTATAACAACCCTCTGATGTAAATAATATTATTAATCCTATTTTCCAGATGAGAGAATTAAGGCTCAGAAAGGCCAGGTAACTTTTCAAAGTTACATCGCTCATAATGGTGGAGCTGGAATTTAAACTTAGGCAGTCTGGTTTTAGAGTCTGTGCCTCTTTTCTAAAAATTTTGTTTTACTGACTTTCTGTGGGAGCTAAATAATGAAGTATAGTACTATTACTTTCCATGATCTAGATACATATTTTAGCCTGGCGTTCTTCATTCCATCCCTTTAAACATTTTCAAGTGTAAATGGATGATGTTACATTATCTTGGTTTAATTTCATCTAGATTATGTCAATATAATTTCTCATTTGTTGGCTGGAATCTTGGATCTCATGTTTATATAAACATAATATAAATGTATGTTATGTTTATATATAATATAAACATATACATGTATATAAACGTGTAATATAAACATTTTTATGTTTATATATAAATATAAGTTATAGTTATAAACATGTTTATATGTTTATGTATGTGAATATGTTTATAAAATACAATATAAACAATATATAAAAATGTTTTCTTATAAAAATATAAAATATAAATATATATCATGTTTATATATAATTTTTCGAATTACTTGTCACATTCTTAGTGCATATCACATTCTTAAACTAAGAATGACTAAGCGTAGCACTCTATGCAAAACTTGCCCCATTCACAAGTTACTTTAAAAGTCAGATATAAAAGAATAGGGAGAGTCATTTCATCTAGGTTTTTAAAATAATTCTTAAAAATATTTCTGTCTTAAGTATTTTTAACTCATTTAATTTCATGTTGTATGTTAAACACAAGTATATAGACTAACACTATTTTATTCAGTTCTCTTTAAGTTATATTTTAACAAACAGTTAATAACAGAGGTTAATATTCTTTCTTTACATTGCTAAGACATTTAAAAAAATTTAACTTGGGCAACATGGTGAAACCCTGTCTCTACAATAAGAATACAAAAATTAGCTGTAGAGGTTTCAGTGGGCCATGTTTACACCACTGCAGTCGAGCCTGGATGACAGAGTAAGACCCTGTCTCAAAAAAAAAAAAAAAAAAAATTAAGTAGCTTCGACCACTGTAATGTATTCCTAAGAGGTAACTATGGCAACCTGGCATGACAGCCTCCCAAAACCAAAACTAAAACCCAATAAATTTGAATTCTCATGAAACCATTATATTTAACCATTGCATTTCAGCAAACATCTGTTGAGAGAGCAAAAAGGGCCTTTGCCTCTCTAGCTTACTGTTATATTTCTAGCACTTTACTAAGAGCTTAGCCTTAGCACGTCATAGGTTGTCAGTAGATATTTGTTGACTGAATAAATTATTTATTTTGTCAGTCCTGTGGATTGGGATCCAAAGAACAACAAAATGCTGATCCTGTCTTCAAGGAGCTAAGTAGATTTTTGTTTGTTTGTTTGTTTTTTGAGTCAGAGTCTTGCTCTGTCTCGCAGGCTGGAGTGCACAGGCGCATTCTCAGTTCACTGAAACCTCTACCTCCCAGTCTCAAGCGATTCTCTTGCCTCAGCCTCCTGAGTATCTGGGATTACAGGCGTGTGCCACCAAGCCTGGCTAATTTTTGCATTGTTAGTAGAGATGGGGTTTCACCATGTTAGTCAGGCTGGTCTCGAACTCCTGACCTCGTGATCCACCCACCACAGCCTCCCAAAGTGCTGGGATTACGGGTGTTAGTCACCACGCCCAGCCAATAGAGTTTTTAAAAAAATGTCTGTGTAGATACTATGTTTTTACTAACTTCAGGCTAGTTCAAACTAGGTAAACTCCTTCACTAAACTTTCTTGTAGTTCGCTCTTCTATGCTGTTCTTCTATAATACTTTACATACTTGTAATTATTTAAATCATCAATTGCATATTTAATGTTGATCTTTCACATTAGACTATAAGATTTTTGAAAGTAAGTAGAGTATTTATTTATCTGTGCCTAAAACATAGTAGGTGTTCTTAAGTATTTGTTACTGATTCATAAATACTGAATAAATGATTCTTAGGAAACTACAGCACATCTTGTTTTCACATTTATTTTATACTTGACAAATTATAAGCTTATGCCTGGACAGACAAGGTTTTTAAGGTTTGTGTAGTATAGTATACTGAACATGTTGAAGGTTTAAAAAGGCTATAATATTCGTAGATGTTTGGCTGAGAATGTATAGTTCAGAACATTTTCAGGAGTATTGAACATTTAAGACATGAAATTATGTCTTTTATATGAAAATATGTAGCACTAGTTGTTGTCCCAGAAATTTTAATCTAGTTTACAGCATTTAGTATGTCTATTTATCAGATGTTTATTAAGCTTACGCTCTGTTCAAGACAATATAATAGATATGAATCAATAACTTGATTGCTTTCCTTTAGAAGCCTAGAGGAAAGATAGAATGTATATGCGTGATTAGTTATGCAGAGAATGTAGTAAGGTCCTAAGAGTACCTAAGTACTCCATCAAGATTAGTGATGAGAATTTTAGGGTCTCCAGTGATTTGGTTAGTAATTTAATCAGAAAAAAGTCTCTATTATAGGCATTACCAGAAATCTACAATATACAGTAACAAAGTTTTGGCATTCCTATATTAAAATTTTAGTGGACCAGGCACGATGGCTCATGCCTGTAGTCCCAGCACTTTGGGAGGCTGAGGCGGGTGGATCACCTGAGGTCAGGAGTTCAAGACCAGCGTGACCAACATGGAGAAACCCCGTCTCTACTAAAAATACAAAGTTAGCCGGGCATGGTGGCGCATGCCTGTAAACCCAGCTACTTGGGAGGCTGAGGCAGGAGAATGGCACAAACCCGGGAGGTGGAGCTCGCAGTGAGCCGAGATCGCGCCACTGCACTCCAGCCTGGGCGACAGAGTGAAGACTCTGCCTCAAAAAAAAAAAAATTTAGTAAATTATTTCCCTTTTTGTATTCTTTATTACAGTTGAGTATCCCTAATCTGAAAATCTAAAATCTGAAATGCTCCAAAATTTGAACCTTTTTGAGCACTGATATACTCAAAGGAAATATTCAGTAGAGCATTTCAGATTTTGGATTTTTGGATTAGGAATGCTAAATTGATGTACTGCAGATATTTCAGAATTCAAAAAAATCTGAAATCTGAAACACTTACGGTCCCAAGCATTTTGGACAAGGAATACTCAACCTGTACTACTTTTATGT